GCTGGGGAATTCTGGGAGTTGAAGTCCACTTGTTTTAAAGTGGCCAAGTTTGGACAACACTGCACTAGGTGCTCATCCCGAAGGTCCATGTCAAGAATCAACACAGTATTTTACTAGGTTCATGCTAGGCATCAACAGAGTGTTTTAAAACAGCATATCATCATCTTTACTTTTTAAGGGGAGAGCCGGTTTGGGATAAGTTTTTCTACACAATCCAATCTCCAACTTTATCTCCCTACGTAACTTTTTCTAAGCAGATATTCATCAGTATTATCTCCATTCCTTTAGTTTTCTAGAATAAAACCCTTGAAGATTAAAATGAGTTGCTGCACACAGAATAAAAACAGAAAATGAAAAGGGAGGAATGCCCATTACCTACCGCTTATTTTCTCCTTTATCAGTGAAAGTGGAAAAAAATTAACCCTTGAAGATTAAAATGAGTTGCTGCACACAGAATAAAAACAGAAAATGAAAAGGGAGGAATGCCCATTACCTACCGCTTATTTTCTCCTTTATCAGTGAAAGTGGAAAAAAATTAACCCTTGAAGATTAAAATGAGTTGCTGCACACAGAATAAAAACAGAAAATGAAAAGGGAGGAATGCCCATTACCTACCGCTTATTTTCTCCTTTATCAGTGAAAGTGGAAAAAAATTAACCCTTGAAGATTAAAATGAGTTGCTGCACACAGAATAAAAACAGAAAATGAAAAGGGAGGAATGCCCATTACCTACCGCTTATTTTCTCCTTTATCAGTGAAAGTGGAAAAAAATTAACCCTTGAAGATTAAAATGAGTTGCTGCACACAGAATAAAAACAGAAAATGAAAAGGGAGGAATGCCCATTACCTACCGCTTATTTTCTCCTTTATCAGTGAAAGTGGAAAAGAATTCTACTTTATATATTTTTAAATTGAAAAGATCGGGTGGAAGAAATAAGCAGGAGAGATAAGAAACGGAATTTCCTGACAATGAGTACTTATACGGTGAGCATTAACACTCTACCATAGAAGATCACTTGAGCTGCTTCAACTGACCTGGCCAGCGTCCAGGTAATGCGTTACTTGCAGTACCAAGAAGAACACCCGCAACGACTCTTTCTGGATGGGATTCCCCTGCCAGTTCTCAACGATCTGCCCACAAAGCGTAAGCAGGGGGTGTACCTCCTGCAGTTTCCTCTCCATGAGGAGCAGCTGCACAGAAGAAAGGAATGAGAAAAGAAAGGACTTAAGTTCCAGAACATATACTAAGGACGTATTTTCCAGGTTCGGCCTTCCTTTGTCTTCTCAAAATAAAGAAGAAAAAAAAGCTGGCATTAAGCGTGGGAAGGGGAGTTATTTCTAAGTCCGTAGTAATGTGGTTAACTTTGCTTCTCATCATTTCAAGATAATCCCAAAGAACATATTAAAAAAAAATATAGTGACACCAAAAATAAATTAAGGTAGCCTAATTAGAACAGGAGTAAGTAAAAATCATTTGGCTACAGCTCAAAAAAAGCTTTTTCTCAGTAGTTTTCCTGTATGTGCAACACCAAATTTAATATTACAACTTCCAGGCCAATGGAAACATAATTCTGATTTACACAACATACTACTAGGTATTATACAAGTTTCAAAGCCCTAAAAATGACTCTTTCTAACACTGATTCAGTCCTTGGGGGTCCATCTCTATTATTCTCAGGATTGTTTAAGGTATGGGTAGACAATTTACACATTGTTGTGGCTTTCAGGGACCTCTCTGATTGTGCTGCTGAAAGCTGATTGCACAATTGCTCAAAACCATCAGTGTGATTTCCCAGCATTCTGAAGCAGAATGTGTAAGAACTGTAAGGTAAGTCTTCAAGTAGCCTAGATAATTTTAAAGATGACCCAAAAAACACATTTCCCCCCAAAACCAGGAAAGATATTTGCAAAATTATGTGCAAGGTGGAGCCCCACACATTTTATCCCATCACTCAACCCACTGCAGTCACTAGTTCTCTGAAGCAATTAAATGCAGCCTCTAGCTACCCCAAAATTTCCCACGCTTTGCTTAACAGAGGTAAGCCTAATTAATCTGCACAATATAAAATGTATTTGCCTAAATCAACCTGAGATCCTCTTAGTCCAGCACTATTAGCAAAAATGGCAGCAACAAACAACAGTGTAATTATCACCTTCCCAAATCCTAAATTCGTGGAATCTTCATATTCCAACCCAAAAGACAAGTTTAGTTTTTCATGGTTGCTTCTCTAAGACTCTATGACATTTTAGAATTTCTCAATAAGTTTCCACCTGGGTTTGAATTACATTGAATATTAAAATATAGGTGGGATAGTAACACATTTGAAATGATGTGTGGGTTAACAGAATGCTATTGCTCTTGTTTCACTGGAAGTCTATCAATAGTCTAGAAGATCAAAACCTACTTATTATTCACTGTTGCTATACGTTAATAAGGAAAACAAACCAGATTTTAAAGCAATACATAAGCAAAATATTCTCCTTTTATCTAAGCCCCAGAAAACTTACCATGCCTTTGCTTAACAGAAATAGTGCTCTGAAAAAGAAAGGAAAGTTATTAAGATTCTAACACAATAGAGATCTCCCAGAAATAGAATGTATTTTGCCTCTAATTCCCATATTTAAAACTGCATCAAAAATTTATTTCAGTCTGCAAAAGACTATAGAACATATTTCAGAACCCTAAATTCACAGATTTCTCCCTGTGAATGAAAAAGAACAAGCCACCCACCTTGTATATTCTGATCCTACCACACGTGCATATTCTGCTCCAACTCCCAAAAGGTCACAGGCTGATACCAAATCTTTTTCAAGTGTATGAAGTTGCTAATGAGGAACACACAGAGGAACACACATGAACTTGAAACAGCTCTGAAATGGTCCAGACAGCCAATTATTTTGATTTTGAAACAAGACATCCCAAGCTCAGAATATTTCAAAGTTCTGCACACCCCTAAGGCTATGTTGATGGCACAAGCCCCATTTATTTTCCATTAAGCGCTGATACCACAAAGCAACAAGGCATTGATGTAACTGACCTCTTCAAGAACGCCCCAGTTACGTCTCTCTTGTACACTGGCGTCTGTAGGGTGGGTGGGTGTCAAAACAGGCAAGATGGTGGTCACGGCATTGTAACTGAACCTCCTCCCCTTTTGTCTGTGTGTTGATATTGCATACAAGTACAAAGGGGTGGGTCTTTGGTCGCAACACCACAACCATGACCTTGTCTCTTCTGGCCCACTATGAGGGTGCCACTACTCTTTCGATACTTAGAATTGAGCTTAGAAACCACTCACTTATAAAACTTCCAAAGGACAGGAAATGCCCCATTTACACAACTCTTTTCTAAGATCAGTTCAAAAGTTAAGAATTCTTTAAGTTCTAAGCTTTTAGAAGTTAAAAGAAGACATGACTGTTGATCTAGGCATTTGTGGAATAACTATTTCAGGAGCAAACTCTCTTTTAGATTCTCTGTTACACTGCTTTTCTATCCACACCCCTGCCACTGAATTTTGTTTCACTTTTTGTATTTATTATTTTTAAACAGTGCTGGATTTCTTGTGCATTTCTTGAAGACTGTCTTTATTACTCTCTTATAAACAGCTCTTGGCTCCTCTGGAAGGAGGAACACTACAGAAATAAAAGAAATAGAAATATTGTAGCTTTTAACATAGCAGAACCTCTCTTACATGCTTTCTTTTCGTATGTAACTACTGTAGAATTCCTCTGAACCCCGTGATGTTTTTCATACAGGTAGTCTTTGCTTAATGACCATTTGTTCAGCAACCATTCAAAGTTATGATGGTGCTGAACGAATGGTAGTTACAGCCAGTCCTCAAAGTTACAGGCAGTCACATGATTAAAATTTGGGTGCTTGGCAAACCGCCTGCATTTATGACTGCAGCATGCATTTCAAAGGGCCAGCAGTTGCCTCAGTTGGGCGCATCTTATCAGCAATGGGAAGAAGAAGATCAGGTCAGCTGAGGGCGGCGGGGGCAGCAGGTGTAGGTGGTAGCTGCGGAGTGCAGGGTGGCCAAAAGGGCAGATGTGGGGGGAGATATTCCGGTGGGGGGAGTTGAAGCAGGGGGGCATGTAAAGTGTGAGGTCCTCACCTAACAACTGCAATCGAAACGGCTGTTGCTAAGTGAATGTGGTCATGTGATGTTTCATCTAATGACCTCTTAGCTTAGCGATGGAAATTCCGGTTCCAAATAGGGTCATTAAGTGAGGACTACATTTAAACCATGTGAGAATAATGAAAATGAGCTTACCGCAAGCTGAAAAAGAAGACGACAGTGCCAGTAGGGAGTCTGCTGTGAAATCTGGATAGCTTTACGCAGCAGTGGCTTAGCTGTGTCAACAGAATTCTGGAAGTATGGACAATAAAAATCAAACTATGCATGCAAAGATGGAGGAGGAGGAGGATTCAAGGGCTGCTAGAAAAATACAAAATCAAGTGGAAGAAGTCACATCTAGTGAAGCAAATTGAATATTCTATCAATTCAAACAAAGGGTACATAACTTTGCAGAAGTGACAATTCTTTTTCCAAAACACATTTTAGCAAATGTATTTGTGTAAAACCTGTATGAGAAGGTCTAAAGTTCAGGAGCAAAGCACTTATTTGTCAGCAAAGGGGTTCAATCCCTGGTATCTGCAGTTAAATGCATTCTAGACAGGAGCACTGGGAAAATTGTCTCACCTTTCTAGAGAAGGGCAGTCAGTCAGAACAGATGATGACTGGGGACTCTAAGAGAGTTTTTCTGCATTCACCCAGCCTTACATCTGCTTCTGAACAGTTAACACCCAGAAGCCCCCAAAGATGGGCACCAAGATGCTAACCCTACTTGATTGCATCACCTTAAATATCAAAATAATATAATATAGTCACAGCTCAATTCATTTTAATGGAAGTGCTACTGGCATGCAAATAAGCCAAATAACAAAAATAGATAAAGTGTCTTAGCTCCTTTTATTTTGTATGGAAGAAAGTCTTTTATATCTTTTGAGTATCAATCCCATTAAATATTAGCATTTAAAGAATTGAATAGGAAGGATGTTCTTTTCTTCTTACCTCTTGACAATACAGCTCAGACAGGAGGCTGGCAGCTTCAAATTTGACATCCTCAAACTGTGGAATCTGGTAGCACCCAAGTTAAGCTAATATAGTAACACTTTCTGTTAAAAATTAAAATAATAGATTTTTTTAGTTGGAAACGATCCAACACTGTGCTTAATGTAGGATGTGCCAAGTACGGAAACTACACTATCCACAACATAATCCCCTTTCCAGCCTTTGCTTGAGTATCTTCAGCAAAGTTAAGCCCCCCCAAAAAGTTTAAATAATATCTAATACAATATCTAAGGCAAACAGAAGACTTGTTAACTAGATGTAGACAAACAATAGAATGATACAGAACCAGCAAAGCTTTTTAACTTTTGGTTAAAACGGACCAAGTTGGTGTTAACCTTCGAAACAACCTACAGAAGTTTGAAAATTGGTAATTCCAGTTTTCATGAGATCAGAAAAAAGGATACTTGTTGTGATATCAGCCACTGTAAAGAGAAGAGAAAAAAATTAGCAATTCCTGAAATCCGCTCCCCATGGAATTTATAACAATCTCTAAAGGGAACAATTAATAGTGTACTTCTAAGACACAGGAAATGAACAAATGATTTTTATTATGGCTTATAGCCAATCAAGACACAGTGAAGTGTCAATAACTGAGCTGTCGTTTCCATTCCTGCCAAACTGAACTCTTCCTGCTGTTTCAAAACTTAGAAAGGACCAATTCTTGTTTATCCAGATTTGGCTATGCCTTCACAATCCTCTTGAAATGCCTATTCTTTCATCCCTTGAAATAGTCACTTTTCATTTTTCCTATACCTAAGTTCATTCCTAAAATGTTGTATCTGTTTAAGGGGCTATAACTCAGCAGAAGCCCCCACATTCAAACTCTGGAAACTCCAAGTTGGGTGAAGAGACTTTACTCAGAAAAGTCACTGCTAATCAGTGTAAACTATGAATGGGGAATTAGCAGGGCTGGGTAGGATGTCACTCCCCACCCATAATACACAAACATTCCACTGGATTTTCTCATTTTCTCTCTTCCAACTGATCACTGGGAAACAGGTGAGAGACTGGAAGGAGGAAGTGCTATCAACTGCTCTTGGAAGAGAGGCTATTAGCTTTCTCTGGTGCAACCCCCCTTATTTCTGTGACTGTGGACACTGATTCTGCCCAGTATTGGCATATGCCACCTTGGATGATTATCCACAAGGAAAGGCAGCCCTGAGGCTCAAATAGGATCTCTTTCCATTGTTACCATACAATGCAGGATGGATATCTATCTGATTTCAGTATAAACAAAGTTCCTGTGTTCCTACTTAACTTTCCTCTTTTGCATCTTTCCTTGCAGATACCTTTTCTTCTCTGTTCATCTCCACTCTTTTTATGTTATTTCAAATATCAAAATTTAAGAGCTGTGCATTTATTCTCCACCACTAGACTTTTTGGAGAAGTTCCTGTCAAATGGATACAATCTCCTTTGTTAATATCTAGAAATAATTTCTTTTAGCTATAACCTTTTTGCTTATTGCACAACTGCCTTAAAATCTATACAGCTATGCAAGTAGACATGTAATGGAAAAAAAAAGATGTAGGCCAAACTCATTTGTTTATAACAATTTAACAGCATGTTGGACAACAGAGAGAAATTGTACTATCTTCATTACATTTCTCCACATGTGTGAGTATGTGCAAAAGCAGCAAACAACACTGAGCCGGATCCATTTTGAACTGCCTTGCCCAACCTGATGTCTTCCAGATGTGCTAGTCTACAATCAGCACCACTCCCAATTAAAATGATATACCACTTTTGTTATTCGAATTCTCAAAGCCCTTTAATAATAGCTCAGATGCAGTACAAGCAAAAGTTTAAAAGCAGTAGGACAGTAATGTATTTGTCCACAGCAACATATGGAAAAGCAGGAAAAGAGTGCTAAATGCACTACTTTGTGCTCATGAACAAAAGGCAGGATAAAAATCTAATGAGAAAAGAAATATTTTTAAAAGTCGGGGAGAGGGATGAGAAGAAAACCAAAACCAAAACACAAACTGTGCCAATATCTTCACCTACAAGGTGGAAGGCCCAGGCGAAGAAGATAATATTCAAAAGGCAATTAAAAGATGCTGTAGTGGGCACCTGATGAGCTTCCGGGGAAAGTGCTGCAGACAGCGGGGCCACCACTGAAAAGATCCAGCACATCTGGGCGGCAGCAGTTGCGGCTCAGAGGGCGGCGAGCCCCAGTCTGCCTACCCGGGTGTACACATGCTTCCCTCTCCGGGGCCACACGCGTACAGACGTGCACGCGCGCGCGTCAGCTCCCCCCCGCCCGCCCGTCCCTCCTGCCGGCGCAGGCAGCCCCGGGGACGCCGGCCACCCCGTTTCCCCGCCGGGCCCCTGGGACGCACCGCTTTCTCGAGGTGCCCGCGGGCCTGCTCTCCGTTGCGCGTGTGGTGGTAGAGGACGGAGCCGAGCTGGAGGTGGGTGCGGGCTTCGACCCGAGCGGGGGGCTTGCGGGGCAGCACGGCCTGGAGGCAGTGGACGCAGAGCCGCACCTTGGGCGGGCTAGACGTGCGGAAGTGCTCGGCCAAGCCCAGCAGCGCCACGTACCACGACTCGGAC